TAAAAAACAGAAATATGAGTAATCTCATAAAATCTTTAATAAATTGAAGTTCAGTTTATTTTTATAAATATTTAAGTAACGTAAAAGCAATTTTCACTAACAATAGAATTCATTAAACACATCATAATAAAATATAATAATAGTCCAAATATAATAACAAAAACATTTAACTTAGTAAAAATATATTTATTATTTGTTGCTTATTTAAATTTAATTTTATGTTTAAAAAACTATTTATTATTTATGTAGTATTTTCTATCAGTAGATGTCAACATTTAAAAATTGTAGGCTGTGTCCAGATTTTTTTTTTTAAATGTTTTCTAACAAATTTTTAATAAATGCTCTTTTTTATATACAAATGAGGTCTCAACTTTGATGGTCATTGGCCGGAGGTTGGTTATACATAAAATATACATTTTAGGAATTAGATTTTGAATATAAGAATTTAAAAATTGTTTAGAGAGTTATTAATTACTTTTCTATTAAACGTTTTGTAAGTTGCTGATTTAGTTGAGCTTTAATGTATAATTACTACACATTAATTTAATGAATTATACAAATCTTAATACAATCTAGGATAATAAAAAAAAATTAGTAGAAAATAGTTATGAATGTGTTAAAGCTTTCATGGATTGTCTTGTTTCTTGAAGTGCTTGAGGATATATCCATGTTTGCAGTTGAGTTCTGACGTTTCGGACTCATTGCAGAGTCCATCCTCAGAGTGATGGTTGCTAGTCGGTGGCTGCAACTATACTGGCGGCTTATCTTGATAACAGTCTGTTTTTATAAAATTGATAACATCGGGTTTTTGACTAACGTTGTTTACCGTATCTGGGTTTTTGACTAACGTCAAGCAATATAAAATAGTTGTTTATTTGATTTCGATACATGGAAAAATAATATATTTTTTAATGCTAATGTTAAAATTATTTATTTTAAAGTAGAAATGTAAGTAAATTTAAGTTTTAATTTATAAAGAACGAGTAATTTGTATAATGAACATGATCACATTATAATTGAATAAGAAATACAATTTCAAATAATATTATTATTTAAATTATGAACGCAATTTATTACAGACATAAATATAAACCATTCTAAATAAAAATAAATAAAGGATGATTTTCTTTGAATTTGGTTAGCATTATGATCTTAAAAGTTCAGTGTCAGCAAAAATATTTGATAAAATTGTTTTACATAATTCATGCAAAAACAAATAAATATTTATTACTGAATAAAATGACGCCTATCTGCGGTTCATTTAAAATTTGCATTAGAAATACAAAATATTAAAGAATTTAACTAGAAATTAAAACATTATGCATTATTTATGAATGATAACATCATCACAAAGATAAAAATAATATTAAATATTATCTGCAGAGTATAGTACAATTTTACCAAAACTTATTAGCCAAAATATACTATTTGGTGTAAACATTTTATTAGTTACTTATAAATAGTATAATTTAAAATTTTTCTTTTGGATCCTAGAAAATAACTGAGATTTTTACATGGTTATACTACGAAATGAGAATTTTAAAGAATTCTTTTACTGGTATTTCTAAATATTTTTCTCTTAGCGCTTCTCCTTTTAAATAATATAGAATGGTTGGTGTAACAATAAGGGTAATAGTACAAGACACCATTAATTGTTTGAAATTGATATCATGGCCATTGGTGGAATCTAATTTCAAAATACTTGGAATTCGATGCCTTTTTCAACACACAAATACTTAGTCTATTATTTTACAACTCAAAAATATTCAAGTTTTACAACAGAATACAATAAACTAATAGTTATACCAGGAAATGATATAACATCAAAAATTCAAATAGCCTATAATATAATATTTTTATATTATGTGCTATCTGGATTTTTTTTTATTATCACACGCTTGTAATATATTTTTCGTCAAGTATAGCTGTGTCAATTAAAAAATAATCAAATTTAAATAATTTTTAGTACTATATTAAAATTTTAAACTTTTAATTTTGCTTTTTCAATAATTTGTATTATATGCTATGTATTATTATAAGTAAATTAATTGAGTCGTTTTGAATTCTGTTGTAAGTAAATGAAACACAAACTCAATTATGGTTTCACAAGGGCTACTAATATCTCATTCAAAATATATTTTACAATTTTGTGAGTGATGTACAACAGTAGGTATCTTATATTAAATGTTCATGAATAATGTTCAAAAGATGTGATAATGGCATTTTTAAAAATACAAGAGTATATAATTAAACTGAGCAGACAAACCTAAACTCAAATTAATATATCCGTAACAAAAATGTACATTACACTGTGAATTAGACGAGGGTGTATTACATATTTATGATAAATTTTATTAAAACTTGATAATATTAAAAATGTCACTACTCTTGATACTAAGCTAAGGCCTAATTAGAATATTTTAAATTAAGCTTTTAAAGTTCAATGAGCTTGTTTTCATATCTTAAAGTTAAATTTGGAGAAATATTGTTGTATAATTTTGTTAGATTTCTTTGTGGTTAACAGTACAAATAAAGTTTTAATTTTTTTTTTGAACCTAACATTTTAGTGATAAAGTCCTACCTGAATGTATACACTGAAATTTATAAATAAACATTTTGCATAAAATAATTGTTTGACTATGATTAGATTCATTTCCTCATTTAGTTTTCTTTTTTTAACTAAAAATCTACCTTTTCAAATATATTAAAATGTATATAGCTTAGATGTTCAATACCAAATAGAAGAACCATTACATAGTCTAAAATTAAAAATTGTTTAACAAAAATAAGCAAAGTGGTTTTTAGAATTGTTATCCCAGGAATACTTCAAGATACCCTGCAGTGTGTCAAAATAACTCCTAGGTGTTGTAGATTTTATTTCATTTTATACTTAGTAGTTTTTAACGTTTTAACTTAAATATCATGCTGTCACATTTTAGTATATTGAAGTGTAACATTAAATGAAAATATGCCACAAAAATATACTTCCTTAGATTAGTAATAGAAAAATATTCAAAAGAAAAATTATAATTTTTGCTATTGAGTCATTTGAAATAAATGAACTTAAACAAAACTCTTTTGTTATATCAAAGTGATATTTTGTTCTAATTATGCATTAAGTAACTTAAAATAAAGTTAAAATTTTATAAATAAAACATTATAAATTACCAAAACTTATTACAAGTGACAATTTGTGAAATGTTCTTTATTAAAATTTTAACAAAAATCGTACAACCGACATTATTTCATAGTTTCATTACTTACATAAAAGCGTGTGTTGAAGAATAATGACCACTTATAAGTAGAGTGGTTCAAAAGATTTGAAGACAAAGTACCCTCGAAGACCTCGTTGTCGTATGCATAAAGCCTTTTGAATGACTTCAAGAATTAGTATTGATACTATGTAGGTAATGTACTTATTGTAGACAATACATCAAGTTGATTTCAAAAGAATTTGAAAATATATGTTTATTGTTATTTTATACAAAATAATGAATACAACTGCATAGTTTTTTTAATATATATATATTTAATTACAATATAGCAATGAATATGTATATTTTTTCATATTAACAAAACCTGTTAGTCAATAATTAAAATCATAATATAAATCAAACGCTTTAGAAACTCTATTTGGATAAAAGTTAATTTACTTAGTATGTAAATTAATTCAAGTATTTTACAAAAACAATGTAAATATTTTGCAAATATACTATCACTGAAAAATGTATAGATGTACTTTTAAATTTGTAATCTCTTATTTTTTATCTAGTACATAGAAATATATAAAAGTTTAAATATTAACCGTGAGTTTTTATGATAATTAAACTTTAATTAAAATATTAGGAATTAAAATTATCGTATACAACCAAATTATAATAACACTAAAAATTTCATATAAGTTTGATGTTCGTTTACATGTATTTTTAAAGAAGTACTATAAAATTTTAAATAAATATCTGATAAATGCAACTTATATAATATTTGAGTTTACATATTATGTAAACTCAATTTAACTACCATGACTTCTACTAAGTTGACTTTGTAAACCTAATTTAAAAAAATAAAATATTACAAAAATAAATATGTTACTTCGAAGTTGGTACATTAATTTTTGGATAACCCTTTTGTTATTGATAAATGTGATTGTATAGTTCGTGTTTGTTATTAAATTTACAGTCGCGTGCATAATATTTTAAACGTTCTTGTCAATTAATTTTATATAGCTATCGTGAATTTTTTATTGAACTTTGCTGACATCATTTTGTACTTTTAACAGCAAAACAGGTTAATGTTTTTGAAGTAATCGTTACTATAACTATTAAAGCTGATTTTCTTCACTGATTTCAAGAGTTTAGATGCAAATTTACAGATCGTAGAATATATTCTACAAACTTCTGCTAATAGGTACTTTCTGATTACGAAAATCTCCAGTGAGTATATATTTAAGGAACGTAGACATCTAATCAGAGCCAACGAAAGTAAAATTATGCCTTAAGCAACCGTTATATGAATGCCTTTTTTATACTTGTAATACAAAAGTTTTGGCGTCCCTTAGCGTTAAAGACACCAATGATGTCTACAGCAATTGCGTAAGTCGTCATATCCCAAAATCGGCCTTGCATATGATATAATTACATATATACACTGGCCGAACTCAAACCGACATTTTTGGATGGTTTTCAAAAAATAAATATATGCGCTAAAAAAAGTTTAGATTAATTAAAATGTGCCGTCTATCAATGTATCGATAAATCACAGTAGTCAAATTGTAGTGGATATTAATAGAGCACACAAAAACTATTCTTTTAAACAATTAATGAATGAAAAATTTATGTCTTCATTAATTTAAACTGTTAAGCATATTTACATACTATTTATACATGAACACAATCCACTCATTTATTTTAGCCAATGAATTTTATGATTTAGGATTTAAAACAATTTTTCGGATAAAAGAAATGAAATAATTTTATTAAAAAAATCATTATTGTTTCTAGAAACCATGGGTTGATGATGATAATGGCCGTTACGGAGCATAACTAAAATAAGAACAATTCAAAACATGTTCAACCCACCCAAACTTCACCAACATGATTTTAACTTACTGCCCCCTGATGCCGGTGGTTTTATGGCCATCATGGCCAGTTTAATCGAGAGCACGGTGAATGGTGGCAGTGCCATGGATGCCGGTGAAGACCACAGGGGCATCAAGAATAGCACTTCGCCGTTCGGTACGGCAGAGAGAAACTTGTTCAACTTCAGTATTAAATACGCACTGGATGCAATATTCGACCATCAAATGAACTCGCACAGAGTACTGGTGCTATATTTGGAAGTTGCCATCATCGTCGTGTATGGAATATTATTCGTCGTGGGGTTGATAACGAACGGATTAGTATGTTTCGTAGTGTTCCGGCAGTGTGGCAAAAAGAATGTGCCCAGCCAAGGACCGTCTCCTCGAAATTTATACATAGTTAATTTAGCATTTGCTGATATAATCATGTGTATGGTTTGTATACCGTTCACTTTGTGGGCTCTCATGTCCAGACGTTGGACATGGGGTTTGATCATGTGCAAGACTGTTCCGGCTGCTCAAGGAGCTAATATCACTGTATCAGCATGCACAATAACGGCCATTGCTCTCGACAGGTAATATATATTTTTTTTAATCGTATTAAAAATGTACACCGTGATCGTTAAAGGTTGAAACGGTATCGATTACCGTCTCTTATATTAAATAATAATTCGCGTATAAATAATCCAAATCTTTTATTTTCACTCTTGGAAATTATTACTTTATATACACAAGTTTAATTTAAAAACACAATAAAATATACACACACATATATATATATATATATACCTTAGTGTTTTTTCCAATCAGATACTTTAATAATTATATTCGATGACACTGCATATTTACACAGCGTTGCGGCTGGTGAGCTTAATTAAGCGCCCAGTCGTTCGGACGTCATGTTATAGTCCTGAAAAGAACCGTTTAAAATACTGACTTCTATTAACAAGGTACCAATGTTGGTGGTTGTGGTTTGGCTAAAGCTTGTCTTCAAGAATGTCGTCTTTCTCCAAGAAAAGTTGTGATTTCACCTTATTACTCGTTTATCTAAATGAAGTGAGCCAGCGTGGTGGTCAAATAAATTACTGCGCCGTCAAACTCACCACCTCATATGTCGTGCGCGTGTACAACGATGATCGGCCCGGTAACCTTTACTTTACTTATTTTTATTCTTCCGCTAGATAGCGGTAGCGGCGCGTTCACTTGTTTGGTATTGAATGTGTATTGTGTATACACATGCTTACTATACGTGTTTAGGGAAGTGCTCCGTATAAAAGTAAGACACTCGTTTAATTAGGATCTATTGAACGTCTTCAATTTTCATAAAGAAAAATATTGTTTGAATCAAAAAACTCTATGATTGTTAAATAATTTTATTTTTCATTTCTTTAGGGATAAAAGCTTAAATTTTAATTTTCTTTAATGGGAACCTCTACTTTGATAATATTCGATACTTCAATAGAAAAAAAAATACAAACAGCTTTGTCCTTTTATTTTATTTTTTATTCACTCGACTGATTGCGTTTTAAAATTGTTTAAAGATTCGGATTTAAAATTCATTAATAATTTGAGTTTTATAAAACTGAAGGCAACAATAATACTTTTCGATGGGTCATAAATTATTATCGATATTTATTCTTGTTGTCGTAAGTGATAGATATGATAACAATAATTGTCAATAAAAACTTGTACATGTGATAGTCTAAAGAAATTATAATTACTGTATGCTATTTAGCAAATAATCAATAGAAAATTGCTAAAACTTTTCAAGCAATAACAGTAGAACGGTTCATCATCGTATAGAAAATATGATGAGAATAAAATTGTTTGTAATTTTTTTTCTATCAGATAATTACACTAAAAATAAGTAGTTATATTAACGAAAATGATATTTTAGACTTTTAACCAAAAAAAAAATTATTTAACTTTACATTATTGTAAACATTTTTGAAAAAAAAAAACAATTTTCGCTTTATAAAAATTTTAAATTTTCAATAGGATTCGAGAAAATGAGTTTCTTATTCTTAATCGATCACACTGTATGAGTGTTGTAAGGCAAAAAAAAAATGAGATTATGATACAACGTTGGTAGTCACAGCGTACTCGGCTGACACTACGGTTCTATCGAGGGTATTGTAAAGACATTGTTATAGGAAGTTTAGAAGAATAACGGCAAGGTATAAGGTGCAAGATATAAGTACTTCAATTATACAAGGGAGGTAGCAAAGTATGAAGTGCAGACACGAGTACTTGAGTCAGGTAAGGAGAGGAGAAACAAGGTAGGTAAGGCGACAAGAATGAACAAACTCTTGACGTAAGATTGAAAGTCTTACAGCGACAACCGAGTACTGAGATTGACGTTTTGACAATAAAACTTGATGTGCTTACTGAAGTCTGCTGACCACAATGGGCAGATTTAAATATTTAAATGATTGCGTAGTTGTATATTTCTATTTAATTGTCAAGTCATCAGTCGCCAGTGGTGGAAGTGTTTCCTTAATTTGCTATTATATTTTCTATAATTATTAAAAAAATATCGATGACGTGACAACATACATAAATATATTTATAAGAACAATTTCAATGGTGCAACGATTTCCTAAATCGAATCAAATTCCGCTTAAGTATTTTATTTACTATAAAATTTTAACTCTTCGTAAAGGTTCATAAATATTTCGTTTTCAATGAAATAATTTGCAAGTAAGAAATATTAATTATTAAATAGAATGATTTCTTGAAATAGATTCAGGTAGATTAATTTTTACTGCTTATATTACTAATTACAAAACAAATATGCTATTAGTATCCTATTAATTATTAACAATATAAAAACATAAATCATTTGCTTCAATAGATATTTGTTTTTGCACTAATAAATTTATTATCAGCTCAATTTGGAATTTAATCAAATACATTTACTAAATTTTTAATTCACAAAATAGCTTCATTGGAAAATACTGACAACTATGACAATTAATCAATTATTTTAAGTTAGATTTACTAATGTATTAAAAATAATCTTATTTATTTATTTAAGGTGTTCTTTACAAACACCAATGAAAAATAAATAAAAAGAAAACTAATATTTGCAAAATACATATACATGTTTTTGGAAATTAATTTTTTCTTAAATAAATCTTAATTATTCTAATTTATTAATTATATTAGTTAACACTGATTTCATCTAAAAACTAAAAATAAATAATTAAATACTTTAGACTGAAACCGTTAAGTGGGGAGGATGTCAAACCCTCATTGATCAGTCTCTATTCCTCACATTCTTCATTGACAACCCTTCAAATATCAGACTTCAGTGGCTTGGACAATAATATTTAATTGGACATTCACGACCGCTTATTCTGATCGAATGAATTCAATATGGCTGACGTTACCTCACTCACTGCTTTTGAAACTAAATGATCAGCTATTTTAGTATAACAGTCCTGTCACTCTGGGACATAGGTAGTGTGCATTACATAAATTCTTCGTTATATGTTTATATCATCAAAAATTACACCAATATATTGAGGTTTATTTTAGTAATTAGTACATAAAAAATTACATTTATTTGAACTTACGGATAATATTAATGAAAAATATAATTGATAAAAGCTTAAAGTAATTTTGCAGAATTGATTTATCTTATAAAAAATATAGTAAACGTCTAATAATAATTTTAACAATTTTATCTAAAAACATCAACCATAATATTTAATAAAAACAAAAACTTCAGTCTAATTTCAATGTTTTCCTTAAAAAAATGTTATTATAGTAATTATAAGAGGAACAATTATTAAATTACATACAACTAGTGATGTACGAATTTCCAGAAAAATAATTTCGAAAATATCCTGGATACAATTCCCCAGAATATTGTCATCTTTTATATTTTGTTTAAAGTTTTAAATATATAAATTAACTTGCAGTAGCAAATGTCTCTAATATCAATTACACTATACCCAAAAATATTTATTACCAATATTAAATACATTCTTAATTAAATTATTTTTAATTAAGTTACTAAACATATTAAACTTTATTAAATCTAATTTTATACACTATCACTAATACACTATGTTTAGTTTCAATTGTTTGAGAGGTGAACCAAGTACTTAGGTCCGCATGCTATTGTGCTATTATACTAATTTTATTTTTACAATCATCTTAAATTTAATATATTTCTTATTAAAAAAGCCGAAGAATTAACTGACCAAGACATGAAAAAGAAAAGAAAAAGACAGGCTTATATATGAAGTATCAACGTGGAAACCTTATGGAACAAAACCAAGAGGATGCCCAAGATTCGAGAGAGATCGAGTTTGGGACAATCCTAAGATGTTAGACGTCAGAGATATAGAAGTATTAGCGATGGTCAGAGAAGCGTGAAGAAAGTGATGATGGACAATCAGGCTTGGATTAAGCCTATAAAAAAAATATATATATATATATATATATATATATATATATATTTAATGATTGTCACAGAATGCAATCAATTGATGTGAAATGAAGTACTTTTGACCAATCATTTTTCTCTCTAACTATCCTTTAAACATATACAGTTATAAGCCGTATGTATTTAATTTACACATTTTTTCTAGAGGGATATTCCTCTAAGGCAAGGAAAACTTTCCGGGAGAGTTGTCCGTAAATAATCCTAGCGGCATATCACTGCATACAACAACCTTAATTACATAGACATTACATCAATAGTTGAGAAAGAATAAAATCAATACCTTTCTAAAATATATACATACATATTGAATGTACGTTACATTAGCATCAAGTGCTAAATATTTTTCTATAGTGTAAATAGAAATTTTGTATTCGCACTACAGAAAATGAAATTTTGTTGTCTCATTATTTCTAAAGTCTATAAATAAAATTCAAATATATATTTGTAGTTATGACTTATTTCTTTCTTTGAGTCATAATGAGGTTGCGTCAAGTCGACAGCCGATGTAAAAATTCTGTTAAATCAATAAGGTAGAGCCGACCCCAAATAGTTTGGTAGAGTCTAAGGAGATAATGTATTTTAGTTATAATTTAACTACTTTAAATAAAATGAAGATTAAATATGATTAAAACTCATTCATCTGCAACAACAATTGTTTTTTACTTTCAAAATCATAAATGCGTTAATATTTTTTCTTGTATTGATTCAAGGTAGAAATCATGCCGAATACGGATATAGTTTACACATTATAAAATTTTATGTTAATTGAAATCGTTCGTATAAGAAATTTCATCAAATACATTTGTTATAGTCAAATATGGCAAGTAACGTCTTGCTAAGTTATGGATTACGCGATTTAATATACATAATATACTATATTAATTAAAACAAAATTATCAGCTTTTCTATAAACTAATTTCTGCTAAATATACTGTTATTACTCAGTCATTAAAATTTAAGATTTCTATTAGCATATTAAGTGTGTAAGGTGTTAAAGAAAACACCGTTTTATCTCATAAGATAAAATGTTAATTGATATTCAAATTATATTTTTCTAGAAGGGAGTAGGATTATAACGCTTAGTAAATACGTATATGCAAGTAATTTGTCATGTATTTA